CATGGGATTGTTACGCCTTAAAGCATTGCCACTGCAATAAATGGAAGATTCATTAAAGAATAAATATCTTAATTTTCATTTTAGTAACTCATAAAGCAATTCAATATTAAATATAATAATCATATCTTTTTATCAGCGATTTTCAGAAACCATAGAGATCTATGATAATCTCTGCGATGTACTGTACCACAGGAAAATAAAACTTTAACGTTCTTTGATGTAATAAAGTAGCAAAGCCAATAATACTGCAGATTTTCACTATACCCTTGATCAGTTGTTCTCAAAAATAAGGGCCAGAATTGTTCATTGAATAAAAGTTTGAATTGCCAGGGCCAGAGATGATGGCACATAGTGCCCTCTGAGCACCACAGTTGCATATCACTCAATGGGTCATCAGTATACAGTATTTCTTTACTGTTTACTGTTGCGATACTTCTTCTGATTTGATTGATTAAATTGCTACAATTTATGGGGCAATATATAGCCACTGGCAGTTAGCTAATGCATGATGGACTCTACATATATAGCCACACCAGATGACAATATTAATTTGATATAAATATAGCAATTAACTTGAATACCTTCTTTTAAAGCTTCCACAGCATGTTGGAGGTTAAGGGTATCCAATTTGTCAATGAAGGCTTCCATTTTTCCTTCACAAATTACCCTGTTGTGCTCCAGATCCATAATCAAACTCCATGTGTCTGCATATTCCTTTACTGGTTTATTATACAATCCACTGATCTTTTTGACATCTTCATCAATCAGTACCATTCCAAGCTTCATAATTTTTTGTCTGTGATGTGTGAATTTCGAGATTTCTACATCTTCAACATTTTGAAATACTGGCAGTATATCTTTGATCCCTCTTTGCTCTGTTATGTTTATGGTATCATAGAGAACATTGAGATTAATATGTCCAGAAGCAGTTAGCATATCCATTAATTCCATCACCCTTGTAGCCTTATTCAACTTATAATTATCTTTCAAAAGATCTCTGTACAATACTTTCAGCATATTTGTGTATTCATGTTGATCATACCATTTTGAAATAACTGACAACATCTCTCTCAAAGCATCATCATTGATTTCTATGAAATTAACAAAATAGAGATCTCATATTCTGATGTAGATGGTTCATAAATAAATACCCTTTATTTACAGTGAATTCAAAGTTATTTAAAAGAAAATTTCCTTCATTTCATTATTTATTTGATCAAATAAATAAACATTAAACAGAAATTAGAAAAATGGGTAGGGCCAACTAAAAAATAAATTAAATTAATCATGAGAAAAAAAGCTAACACAAACATAGATTTAAATTGAAGATGATCTCTAAAACTGCAAAATTAACTAATGGTATTGAAAGCTTATCCTAAACTAGTGGATGTCAGTTGCCTTGAATTATTATGTTAAAGGACAATTTGATACAGTCTAAATATAGGATAGCCCACCAACCAAAAACAAACATTTATATCTTCTAAGTAACAATGACAATAATTTTAATTTCTCCTGAAATGCAAGTCATCTTTCTTATAGTCTTAAACCTAGTCTTCTAGACATGCCAAATAGATAGAGGAAGTTGAGGGATTTTGGATTTTGAAGTCTCTAAGCACATTTAAAAACTGATTCAACTTACTGGTAGCCATCTTGATATAAAATCCTGTGAATTTTAAATAATTAAAGTAATTATTAAATAATTTAGAATGGATAAATAATCATGAATAAGTAATTATTAATTAATTTTAGTTCATTAAGCATTATTCATTAAGCTTTTATTTACAAGGTACTAAATATACAAATAATGATTCCTTAACCAATATATATGTGCCAGGTGTTGACATACTACTGTACAAAGTATTAAACTTTTTTAGAATAAACGTCTATGATTGCATTTTTCATATACTATATAATAATAATAAATTTATTCTTATAAAGTGCAAAATGCAAGAAACCTCTAAGTGCTTTACAATGAAAGGAAAAACCAGATAAAAATAAAAGAAAAATGATTACAACAGTGAGGGAAATCAGGTTAACATTATGAATGAATATTTATTTATTTATTTTAATTTATTTAATTAATTAATTTTTTATTTATTTATTTATTTTATTTTTTCTTTCAATTACCTTCTCATTCCATTTGGTTGCTTTCCAATTTATTATTGATTTCTTATACATTCAACTATTTCACAGTTTAAATTTTTCTTATGTGTTTGGCTTGTCATGTCTATCCTTTCCTCACAGCCCTTGCCTGTATTTCCCAATCCCCATTTCCTTTCCTTTTCTTATGTTCACATAACTTTCCTTCATTTTTCATTCTGATGTTACCTTATCTTTTCCTTTCCTTTTCCTTTCCTTTTCCTTTCTTATTTTCCTTATCATTTCTTTCCTTTTCCATTTTTGTGTTTCCTTATCTTTTCTTTCCTTATCCTTTATTTTGTTTCCTTATCATATGAGCTGTTTTTGCAGATGAGCTGTTTTTGCAGATCTTTGGTATATTATGTATTGTCTGATAGGCCCTCTAGTTGTAAACTTTTCATACATTATATTTTAGATTTCCTTACACAAATTCTAGCTAAAATTATCCTTGTTGCCGTGCAGATAAAAATTGTATTTATTAGGCTATGAGAGTGGAGCTGATTTATTGGTCAATTCATTTGTAATCTATGATCGAGCTGTTTAACATGTACGCACAGTGAGCATCTGCCTTGTGCTAGACTAACAAGTTTGGTGCTCGTTGTCTCTTGAGGCAGAATTCTTACTGAAAAATATACACACACTTTGTTTAAACTGTCATGAGAGGCAATTTGCTTAGCAAACCCACACAAAAGGCAATTTGATAAACTGGTCTTGTGTGCTGGGCTTAAAAGTAGCAATCATTATGGTAAGCAATCTTTAATATAAATATAGGAAATATCTAAAGTGATAAAACACCATGAGTATCCATTTTTTCTCTGTAAAGTACATGTGCAGCTAATTGGTAGAATAGATTATATGCCTATTACTTTACCATATTTGTCTGGCACACTTCTCTTTAGCAACTAATAAATGTATAATATCTTTGCAGGTGAGGGCCCTCATTATTACTAGTATCTGTCTTTATTTTTCATAAGACAATCCTTTCTTATTAACATTTACTGCATGTATCTATAATAAATATATAAAATCTTTTAATCATTATTTGGTTTATTGGTCTGTAGTAGGCCTACATACCTTATGAACATACTTGTATAATGCTCTGACTTTCCTCAATGATATTTTGCTCAGGTAAATAATATTTTGATTCAGTATTTTCAATTTTTTCTGAATCATTAATATGTTAAGCATTGGATCTAATACTAAATAACTTAAATTAATGAAATATTTACCTTAAAATTCTTCGGTTGATTTTTCAGTGAGGTGCATATGTGAAGTGTCTCCAATCAGGAAATGGGTGTTTTTCAAGGGTTTATTGTACCTTAGTCATGTGATTTTGGTATTTGTGTTTCTTTGTGAATGCTATCAACCAACCATGACTCTGTGAAAGCAGAGACTGAGCACTATTCAATAGTAAATTGTTATGTATTGAATACAAATTATTACAGTCAGAACTCCTTTTCATTGTCATATCTGTATAACAGTCTAGTGTTTTTTTTAGTTTTTTTTTTGTACTATTGCTCTCATTATAATCAATTCAACAAACAAGACCCCAATGGAAATAAGTCTTTTGGACTACCTTGCTGGGTTATTTTTTCAATTTGTGTTCTTGACACCGAAGAAAATGAATATACCGATCCTTTTGATCCTTCTCTTTTTCACTCTCTTTTTCATACCTTCTCTACTATCTTGTGTTCTATTCTCCACTCCTTTTTCATCTGCCTTTTGTCCTGCCCTTCATTTCTATTGATCTCTTTCTTTCCACCTTCTCGTATTATGCTGGTCAATCAGGGGTGGCAGGGGTGTCATATTATAGTAACTCGATGCCTATCAAATAAGTAATAAAAATTCGCTATAATTCATCAAATATCCGTGGCTTCTAGGGGTCGAAGCCCCTTGGACTCCCACCGGGGGTCCTAGGCAGGCCCCCAACCAATTGAGACTCGATTCGCTCCACCCAAAAATCTCATTTGGGAGGGGATCCTTCTCAAAACCCCTTCCCCCAGCTCGAGCCTATGAGCTCAAGTCCCCCTGTCGGACAACTTAGCCCCCCCCCCCCTAGAAAATATATCCTAGAGCCGCCACTGTTTGTGAGGACTTGGTAGCACAAGTGTGGGCAATAAAGGTAAAATTGGTAGTTAAAGTCCCTGCTCTGTCTCGTATCAAAGTAGCATAATTTTTCACACTATTTTAGGGAAGATTTTTTGCTAACCCACGTCCTAAACCCACCGTTGATACATAGCCACGAAAAGTAGTGATCGCTAACAGACAGAACCGTGGTCTTATTCGCCATCGGGAACCAGTACAAATTAAATTTGGTAGGTTACATGGCTGTAATAGTAGTTCAACTGACACCATAATAATTTTCAGTAAAATAGGTAGTGTGAAAGTTTCTCATATCTTGGAGTGGCTGCACCCCACCCCCTCCCCCATAAAGTTGCTATACAAGTGTGCCCCCCCCCCAGTATGTGCAGCCAATTTATAGAAAAGATTATATGCCTATTGCTATATTTAACATGTTTTTCACATTTCTTATCAGCAGTAGTAAATGTACAATTTCTTTGCAGGTGAGGACCTTTTCTAGTATCTGATTGTCTTTTTTTGCATCCTTATCTTATATAATAATATTTGCTGCATGTACTATAATAATCATATATAATTCAACAGGACAGTTTTGCGCTTTTTAAAATATCTAAGCACTCTACCCAGTCGTTTTGGATTGAAAGCCAAAATTTCATATTTTTGTGAATTGATCTCACAAATCCTAGGCCAACTAAGCTGCTCTCCCACCTAGGTTTATTTCACCTAAGAGTCGTACGATTTCTACGAGTTAAAACTCGTGACCTTTGGAAAGGACCTATACGAGCTTATTACGTGTTAGCTACGAATGAGGTACGACTCTATGGAGTTGGTTACGAGTTATGTACGAACTATGCCCAGCAGAGCACCGAGTTAACTACGAGATTATTAAGAGCGTAACAAGTTTGTATCGAATTAGATACGAGTTAGGTACGAGCCAACTCGGTGCGCTCGTACTTACTCATACTCGTTTCGGGGTGCTTACATCAAACTCGTAGATGACAAACCGCCGACGAGTATCCAGAGTAGTGTACGAGCTACTGTAGGTAGGAGTACCCCGAGTACTCTACGAGCTACCTACGAGTTCTTCGAGTTTACTACAAGTTATCTACTCGTGGCGATAATTTTGAACATGTTCAAAATTAGCTCCACGAGTTCAGAGCTGCTACGAGTAGGTAAGAGTCCTCTCCGAGCTTTCCGAATCGTCCTACGAGTTTTGGCCGAGTTTTCCGAGTTAGCAACTCGGCATTCTCTTGTAACTCGTATGCTGAAAAAACCCCTAGTGGGAGAGGGGCTAACTTGCCTGTCTTTAGTAAGATGACTGACGGTTAAGAAGGCAATCAGACAGCACAAACCGGGTTTTGTCACATAGGCCTAGGCCAAGACAATCTTGGGCACAGAATAGGAGAATAGAGAGCTTCCTACTCAAAACTGTGGAAGAAAGACATTAGACAACCTTTCATAATTAACTTGACTACTATTATATTTTTCATCTATATTTCCTGCCTGCTTGTAGGAATTTTGACTACTTCATCAGCAAGAATATTTAACTAATTTCTACAAATTAATTGATATTTACCATAGCATAAATACAAGAAGTAAATTGAAAAACACTTTAGTCTTACCACAATGGCGAAATGATTTTGGAAAAAAGAACTTTTAAATATCGTTCTGTTGAATTATGGAATTATCTGTCATCAGACCTTCGTAGCAATATTCATTCACTTTCCTTACAATCCTATAAAAAATCTCATTTAATTACCCCTTTTGTTATTCTTTTATGTTTCTTATATTTATATGTGTGTGTACAGTATGTGTATATGTGTGTATATATGTATATGTATATGTATATATATATATATGTATGTATGTATGTATGTATGTGTGTGTGTGTGTGTGTGCGTGTGCGTGTGCGTGTGCGTGTGCGTGTGCGTGTGTGATTTTTGTAAGGGCGTAATCACAGGGGTGGCTCTAAGATTTGCCTGATGGGATGTTCGAGGTCCCCAAAGCATGAGGTGGACATGGCCCTTATATTCTTTTCCCCAACAAGATGGAAGATTTTGCTGTCAAGAGTAAAGTGGGAGTCGTCGATTGTTTCTTAAAATGTTCCGAAAGAGGTCCAGGAGTTGAAGCCCCCAAAAAATTTGACATAACATTTGAGGCATTCTGGGCTATCATTTTTTAATTTTTCTCTCTGTTTTTTTTCTTTTTTTACTTCCCAAAAGGGGGGGGGGGGCTGGGCCCAGGCCAGCCCCCCCCCCTAAATCCACCCCTGCTTCTTTTCAAAATGAATGCTGTAAATTTGGTGAATTTGTACTACTGAACAATTAAGTTTGGCCACTTTAACATCAATCTGTATCATGGAGTTTATCAATTTAACTGGCATTAAATCATCTAAACAATTCTATAAACCAAGCCTTTTTTAATTTATTTTGTTTTCTGAAATTACTATCATTGTCGTATATTACTATGCTATCTTGAAAAGAGAAGCCTAATAGCCTATTATTGTGCCTATTATAGTCATAATAAGAAGATGGAATTGTTATTGTCGTGACGGAATAGACAATAACTTGATTTGCGTCAGGAGAAACATATATAGGTGTAATTTTGCCCTACCTGACGTGTAAATGTACTGAATACTCAGTACGTTTGAAAACAATTGTGAAAAAAAAAATCGCAAGTTGTTCTTGGGTGTTACTCGAACCCACAATCTCCAGATCACTGTTTTACTAAGTATTCAGTACATTTTTTACACGTCAGGTAGGGCAAAATTACACCTATACATAATAAGAAGCCTATACAAATGCACAACAATTGACCATTAGCCATTTTTGAAATTTTTAGTAAACGTTTTTTTTATAAGACATCATTTACAGATCAGTAGAACATGATCTCTGGGTGGTGAAAATAAATCTATACACACAAACACACACTAATTTCAGTGCATTATATTTGCTTTCTCAATAAATATGCTAAGTTTATGGAGGCCGTAATTATTTAAGTTAAAGATACTCGAATGTAATTTGAATGTTAACTTTGAAAAGTCAAATATTTTGGTTACGGGAAAGCCTGTTGATGAAGAAGAATGGAAATTAAGAAAGTGTTAAATCTCTGAAACAGAAACTATCTTTGGATAATTATGTATATATATACACACAAACACACACTATATATATACACACAAACACACACTATATATATACACACAAACACACTAATTTCAGTGCATTATATTTGCTTTGTCAATAAATATGCTAAGTTTATGGAGGCCGTAATTATTTAAGTTAAAGATACTTGAATGTAATTTGAATGTTAACTTTGAAAAGTCAAATATTTTGGTTACGGGAAAGCCTGTTGATGAAGAAGAATGGAAATTAGGAAAGTGTTAAATCTCTGAAACAGAAACTATCTTTGGATAATTATGTCACAGAAATTAAATGAGTGTTCAATACAAAATTTATTAAAATATGGGATTATGGTACTGTGTATCGACCTCCATCTATGAAGTTGTGTCCCTGCCCCCTCCCCACATTTCCTGGACTGCCACTGACAAAAGATTTAATACTGTTTATATTATATCTTCAAAATCTATTAAGACCTCAAAATATCAAAAATATCTGGGCTCGATGGAGCTCCGCCCACTCAACCCCAAAAGGGTTCTGTCGCTTGGTAGCCCATAGTCATTTTGGTCCACTTTCCACAAATTTGCACCTACCCAATAAAAACCTGTGTACAGGCCTGATTTAGTATTAATGTCTTACACGTTGTTTAATATTTAGTAGGCCTGTATAC